AATGGATGGAGAGAATTTACTCAATCCAATAAATTCAGACCCTGTGAAGAAGTATTTTGCTTAACAAAAAAAATCAAATTAAAAACCTGTAAAGGGCAATTTGAGTTTAAAAAATAAAAAAAAAAAGCTCGAATTGAAAACCCGTAAAAAGTGATTAGAGTTTCAAAAAGAGAGGGCTCGAATTAAAAATCCCACAAAGAGCAGTTTGAGGATATCTAAGTTGAAGGCTCGAAAAAAAAAACACAGAGGTTCAAGATAAGATCAAGAATTTCATGTGGATGGTTTCGGGAAGAAAACTCCAGGTTACTTTGATCATGATTGTTTGACAACCCACTTTAGCCTATCTTTGTAACTCAGTCCCATTCAATCAATAAAATCCATTTCTTTCTTGATGTCAACATTGACCTCCTTTATTGTTTTCATTTTCTTTTTCTTTTCCCTTTTACCCAGGTCAAAAGAAATGTGCATTTACTTTACATTTGTCATTTTATCGAAATGATAATGAATGAATAAACAATGATATGAAAATTCTCTTGATTACTTTGGAAAACCAAGAACGACATAGGTAAGCGAAATGAGAGCAATGGAAACTTAGTGAAATATTGATCTTGGTTTGGCCAAAGCTAAAAGACAATGATAGTTTGATTCCTTAACCAAATATGTTTAGAAGTTAAAAAGTTTATCACTGAAGCAAAAATGAAAACAGCAAAGAGCTTGAGAATCTTTTTACCATGATTAGATAGGCCCATTGTCTCTTAACATTTCATGTAGGCATTCCAGGAAATTGGCATTTTATAACACTTCACGTATGCATGTCATTTGCTTTTACAAAAAGGTGTTCAAACCCCACAGATGATTGAAGTTGTCAAGAATGAAGCGATAGTTGTTTCGAATACAACTTGCATTGATAGTCCAAATTATTCATTTCGAGCTTCGATTTAATCCAGGTCATTCTATTTTCAGATTTTGGTATATGCTAGATCTTTTTTTAACTTAGTCCAAGTCATTCATTTCAGACTTCGGTTCAATCCAGGTCATCTTATTTTTGAATTTCGATCTATGTCAGATCTTTCTCTAGCTTAGCCCAAGTTATTCATTTCAGACTTCGATTCAATCCAGGTCATTCTATTTTTAGATTTTGACCTATACTAGATCTTTTTTTAGCTCAGTCTAAGTTATTTTAGGCTTCGATTTAGTCCAGGTCTTTCAATTTTGGATTTTGACTTTTGTCAAATCTTTCTTAGTCTAAGTTATTCATGTTTAACTTAGGTTCAATCCAGGTAATTCTGTTTTTAGATCTCGACATATGCCAGATCTTTCTTTAGCCTAGTCTAAGGTATTCATTTCAAACTTTGGTTCCATCCAGGTCATTTTGTTTTGAGATTTTGACTTATGTCAAATCTTTCTTCATTGTAGTTCAAGTATATGTTTCATACTTTTATTTCATTCATGTCATTTTGTTTGATTTTAACTTATGCCAGACTTTGGCTTAGACCAGGTCATTTTGCTTTTGGATTTTGGTGTATGCCAGATCTTTCTTTAGCTTAGTCTAAGTTGTTTATTTCATACTTCGATTTGATACAGGCTTGTGTTAAGTCTTTTTTGACTTAGTCCAAGCCGTTCATCTCAAGTTCTAGTTCAATTTGAATGTTCTTATCTTCACTTCACATTAGTTCGACTTGTTCTTTTTCGGTACTAGGCCATGATGGTAGTCTACGTCTTTGCATAATTTTTATTTCACAAAAAATATGCAAAGAGAGATAACTGTAAACATCTATTTCTATTTTTATTTATTGATTTTTTTAAGCTGTTGTAGATAAGTTAATAAATAAGTAAAAATAGAGTTCAAGTTCTAGTGGAACTCTATCAAAAAATTTTTTTTAATTTTAAAATTAGATAAAGGGATCTCATTTTGAAACGAAAGAGAACGGATGACAAGATAGAGGATTTTGATTTTTAAATCCTCGTGTAATCGGGCGAGTGAAGCCCTATATAAGAACTAGTAATCACAGAGCAAAGATAGAGAGAAAAAGAGGGAAAACATGAAAGTCAAAATCAAGATTTTCTTTGGTAGAAGGTTCTTGGGAAATTCATGGCTTTAATGGCTTTTTGGAGGTTTTTTTCTAAGTTTTTTGGAAATTTTCTAGAAATTTTCAAAATTTGATAAATTTTTTGATGAAAATTTAAGTTTTTTGACATTTTTTCGGTAAAAAATCCAGTTTTCGGCTATAAAACCCAGAAATCGATGAATTTTTCAGTGACAGTCGATGAAAAACGGTGATCAAAAATCGCTTAAAGAGAGAGGCAAAAGGGTAAAGAGAGAAAAATAAGAAACAGTCTGAGAAAAAAATAAAATTTCAAGCCTTTTATATCAACTGAAAACGACACCATTTTTGTGGAGCTGAAAGTGATAGGATCCACGTGTTTTGCTAAGATCTAACCTGACCTATAGTGCACTGACCCATCAACCCGTTCACCTAACCGTTGCTGAGTCATCGAGCCGAGCCGCATACCAAGCTGCTTCAGCCGATTCTCTCTCTCGAGTTGCACTCCGTCCGAGCTCAGTTGAGCCGCCAAAGGTTTTTTATTCTTTTAGTTTTATTATTTATTTTATTTATTATTATTTTTTTATTGATTAAATTGAAATAATTTATTCATTTAATTAAACATTCTTTAATTTTCAATTATCTCTTTAGAATAAAAATTTGAAAGAATATTTTTAAGAGAATGTTAAATATATCAATTTCCTTTAAGCATAAACAAAAAAATATATTTTTGAGGGAAAGTTGAAAGTATCAATTTTTTTCGAAAACAAAATTAAAAAAAAAATCTTTGAGGAAAAGTTGAAAATATCAATTTTTCTTGAAAATATCAATTTTCTTTGAAAAATGAATTAAAAAAATATTTTAAGGAAAAGTTGAAAGTATCAATTTTCTTTAAAAATAAAATTTTCAATAAGCATTTTAAGGAAAAGTTAAAATTTTCTGTGAAAATGAAATTTTTAAGAAAAATATTTTCGAGAAAAAGTTGAAAGTATCAATTTTTCTCGAAATAGAAATGTCAAAATGTTTTAAGGAAAAGATGAAAGTATCAATTTTCTTTATATAAAAGTATGAGTTTTTTTATGAAACAATAAAATGAAAAAATAGACTTCTTGAAGCATTGTTCCTTTTTTTTTCTTTTCTTTTTTTAAAATGTTAAATAATTCGACGATGGAGTTTCTGCAAGTGAAACAGTAGTTTCCTTGCATACTGTTGAGGTGAGAGAATTTTTTTTAATTTTTTACTAAAAGTATTGGAGTTAATTAAGAATAATTTTCAATAATTAATTACTTGATAAAATTTTTAAGGCTTATTGGATAACATGAAATTAAGCTGGTACCATCTTTTGATGGGCGTTATGAGGGTGCTATATTCTTCCTCACATGTAACCGCACTCCTAGACCTAGTTTTGGTTTCGTCGACATTAGATCTACCTTGCAAAGATACCTAAGTCAAACTTAAGATTTCTCTTTAAAAAGGGACAGATTCAATCAGGTGGCCAATCGCACCTAAATAAAAAAGATTGGTAGTGACTCTTTAAGTCAATGTCTAGTGATAGGTCTTCGGATCTAGACGTTATGATACTTACATTTCGGTTTAGCACATCAGGTAAGTAACTTAATATCCTTTTGGTTTTTATATTCTTAAAAATTAGCCTCAATATGTTTAGAGTTGAAATATATAATATATATTATTTTGTCCATTTGTTTTGTAAATCGAGTTGAACATGCAAAAATATATATATGATTTTTTTGTTATGAGTTTGAAGTATAGTTTGGTATTATTTTAATTTTCTAATATTATTTTGTATCAATATATATTTAAATACCCATTGATTGTCAGAATATGAAATTTTTCTTTGGAGTAGTTATGGAAATGACTTTGTATAGATTATGTTTTTGAGAATGTATGTGAATATCGTTTTATTTATATTAGGTAATCTGAAAATATATTTTTGTTTTATTTTTTAGTATGACTATGTTTTGACCCTTCTACTAAGGGTTAATTATTGGTCATGTTGGCATGTATTTTGTGATATCGATACCGATTTTGAACCATGCCACCAATTGAGAATAGTAATTTTTGTTCACCGTACCATCGATAATATGCTTCTATCCTATTACATTAAAGGGGTTACTTTTATCTCATTGCACTAAAGAGGTTTTTGTGATTTTTGTTTTGTCTCATTGCACTAATGGGTTAATTATTATTATTCAATGCAACTACCCAGTTGCTTTTGATATAACTTTGTCTCATTGCACTAAAGGAAAATTTTTGAATCTCAACTATACCATAAGGGTTAAGTATGGCTGTAGTATATTACAAGAGACTAACAAACTTTATGATTTTGTGATGTTTTATTTTACTTTGAAATCTAAGATTCTAATTTTGAGATATGATTTATGAAAATATGTTTGAATACAAAATTATCAAAAATAATTTCAAATCATTTAGTTACTATTTTAAGTTAAATATTTTGTGGTATGCTTAATCTTACTGAGGGAATGTTGATTGCTTACTGAGTGGTTGTACTTATTCCTTTCTTTAATATTTTTTATAGGTTTGGATTTTGATTATACTCATGGAAATCTTGGGAAGTGATATTCCAAAACTTTAGTTGTTATAGGACCTTTAGGATTCTTTTAAATGCTTAGACATTTATATTTTTATAATTAATTATTTATAATATTTATAACTTTAATGAGATATTTTAGGACTTATGAATTTTTTTAAGTATTACATTTTTGTGTTAAAAGATATTAAATATTATGAACTTTTTGTTTTCAATCATGCTTTCTTATTTAGATTTATAAATCTTGGTAGATTTTTGACCTTACATATCTATAAAATCATATATTGCAGTTGTACAGCATCTGTTATGCTTCGGGATGTGATAAGTATAGGATCTATGAGTAATTATATTCTATATATTATACCATTTTTTGTCCAAAACGTATATCTTCTAAATCTTTATTAATTCCTTGATTAAATAAAAAAAATTCAGATCTATGACAAAGTCTTTCAATTCAATATCATTTCATTAGGTTGAGAATCCATCCTTTGAACTTCACTTTGTACTTGTATTTTGTAATAAAAAAACTAAAACCAATAATCCGAGCATTTGATAAACATATTAGCAAGTACAACTAACCTACAAGCATTTAGTATTAGCCTTGTTGCACAGCACCAACTACTTTGTCTTTGGCAACATCCAGGAAATCACTTGAGCCTGGTTTTATTGCCTTACTTCTCTTTTTGGTGTCTTCGTTTGTCGTTTTGGTCTAGGGAGGAGCCTGTTTTATTGCACCAATTTCTCTCTTTGGATCATTTGATGTCAATAAGTAAATAAATTATTGTGGTCTGAAACTCCCGTTTCCTAAGCAAGGATAGATTCGGACAAGGATAGATTCAAACATTTTGCCTGCTTGATGGCTGTATCATTTCTATTTTTCATTTGTTTTATTTTCCTTAGAGTCAACGAATTTTGTCTTCTGGTGTCGGCTTCTATAAAATGAACAGTTATTGAATCTGTAAAAGAAAAAAAATCGGAAAAAGCAAATCTAGGTTTATTTTCAATGGCATGCGATGACGCAAGGCAATCATGTCATTTGCAATTTCTGCCTGGGAAACCCTTTCGACCAATCAGATCGGAAAATCAATTTTCCTGTCAAATCACTTGCCAAATTGCCCTGGTGGGTAGCCAGTTGCCCGTCAGTCGCCCTGTAATAAAAGTGCTACACCCTCTAGTCTCTCCGTTTACACTCGCATAAAATTTGTATAACCTCCCTGCCTTCGCCAAGTCTTTCCCTGTCTTCAATCTTCCCAAAATTTTTCATGGCCTCACAATTGATCCTACTCGTTTTTCCTTTGGCTTTATTTTGTCCACTTTCAACTTCATCCTCTGATGGTCTATGGGCGGGCTCATGTCTAGCGGTGGAGACTGCAGGTGATGTGTTGACTTCACCTGATGGCACTTTCAATGCTGGTTTCCACCCTGTCGGCCAGAATGCTTATTCCTTTGCGATATGGTTCAACAAACCATCCTGCGGTGCTAACAATTGCACCATAGTTTGGATGGCAAATCGGGACCAACCAGTTAATGGTAGAGGCTCAAAGCTCTGTATACTGAAATCAGGTAACCTTGTTTTAAACGATGCTGGTAGTATCCCAGTTTGGGAAACGAAAACAGTCTCGCAGTCCCCTACCCATTTAAAACTCGCTGATGGCGGTAATCTCATCCTGCGTAACTTTGAAGGCCTTATATTGTGGCAAAGCTACAATTCACCCACGGATACTCTGCTTCCTCTTCAACCATTCAATGAGAACTCGAAGCTCATCTCATCAAGAAGCCAAGGAAACTACTCTTCGGGTTATTTTCAGCTTTATTTTGACACTGATAATGTCCTTTCCCTTATGTACAAAGGTCCTGAGTTTTCAAGCGTTTACTGGCCAAGTCCATGGCTTTTGAGTTGGGAAGCTGGAAGATCCACGTTCAATAATAGCAAAATTGCAATTCTGGATTCTTTGGGCAATTTTAGTTCAACCGATAATTTTACTTTCTTGTCAGCTGATTATGGCTCAAAGATTTCAAGAATGTTGAAGATAGATTTTGATGGCAATATTCGACTGTATAGTCTAAAAGAGGATGGAGAAACTTGGGTTGTTTCATGGCAAGCCTTCCCTCAACCATGCATGGTTCATGGATGTTGTGGACCGAACAGCATATGCATTTATATTCCTAACTTTGGCAGGAAATGCTCTTGCATTCCAGGATATAAGATGAAGAATCATACTGATTGGTCTCTTGGATGTGAACCAGAATTTCATCTTTCTTGTAACCAAACTGAGGTTGGTTTCCTGAAACTCCGCCATGTTGAATTTTATGGTTATGATTTCAACATGTATCCTAATGTCACCCTAGAGGATTGCAAGAAAATGTGCTCACAGATGTGTGATTGCAAAGGTTTTCAATACAGATTTATTAAAGCCCATGAATCAGATGGTATATACTGTTATCCCAAGACACAATTGTTGAACGGACATCGCCCACCAAATTTTAATGCTGATTTATACGTGAAAGTGCCCAAGGCTACTGTCTCCGTTTACAGTGACACTAGTCAAGATTTCGAGTTACAATGTTCCAACCAAGTGCAGCAGCTGGAGCGAAAATATTCCAAAATCCGCGAAAATGAGTCATTGAAATTTGCCCTTTGGGTGGCATGTGCAGTTGGAGGACTTGCGTTTCTTACCATTTTCTTGGTATGGTGTTTCTTGATTAGAACCAACGGCAATTCAAGCCCAAAGGAAGGTTACCTTCTCGCTCCAACTGGCTTCAGAAAATTCACCTATGCTGAGCTGAAAAAGGCGACAAATAATTTCTCAGAAGAGATTGGAAAAGGTGCAGTAGGAATCGTGTACAAAGCCACACTGTCCGATGGACGAGTTGCAGCAATCAAGCGACTCATTGATGCTAACCAAGGGGAAGCTGAATTCCTAGCAGAAGTAAACACCATTGGAAAGCTTAATCACATGAACCTGATAGAGATGTGGGGCTATTGTGCGGAGGGAAAGCATAGGCTTCTGGTGTATGAGTACATGGAACATGGATCCTTGGCTGAAAACCTCTCTTTTAAAGCACTTGATTGGAAAGAGAGATTTGAAATTGCTGTGGGAACCGCAAGAGGCTTAGCTTATTTACATGAAGAATGTTTGGAATGGGTTCTCCATTGTGATATAAAGCCTCAGAACATTCTCATAGACTCTAAATACCAGCCTAAGGTGTCAGATTTTGGCCTGTCTTGGATGCTAAATAGGGGCGATGTTAAGTATTCAAAATTCTCTAGGATCCGAGGAACTAGAGGTTACATGGCACCTGAGTGGGTCTTCAATCTGCCTATCACCTCCAAAGTAGATGTCTATAGCTATGGAATCGTTCTACTGGAGTTAGTGACAGGAAGAAGCCCTGCAATGGGAATCCAAGTGACAGATAATGAAAGTCCAAAAGAGGAAAGGCGAACGTTAGTTGCATGGGTGAGAGAGCACATGGCAAGAGCCAAAGAGACCGAAACATGGAAGCATGAGATAACTGATCCCAAGCTGGAAGGGATATATGATGGGGCTGAGATGCTAATTCTGGTTACGGTAGCTCTGCGATGCGTTCAGGAAGAAAAAGACGCAAGACCGACGATGGGTGAAGTAGTTGAGATTCTCCTTCGTCATGAAAGCCATTGACCCACAGAGGAATTATTTCCTGCTAAACAAATGAGTCGGCGACTAGTCACTATCTCTCTAATCAGGTCAATATTTAAGGTTTATCTGTTTTAGTGTTTGTTAACTAGGATCTTTCCTGTCAAGAAAATAAGTTCACAACTGTTTTCTAACCGCCATTGGCACTCTAAAGGAGGGCTTTAATGCCCTCTAGTTAAGGCAATAACACTACTCTTGCGCATAGCTGGTTATTGTATATATTCAGCTGGTTTATAATCAATGATCAATCAGTGAGTTTGTATTATATATAATTGAAGTTTATTTAGTTTAGAAAGTAGCACTCCAACAAAGTCATCAGTACAACAGAAAATCAAAACTAAAATAAGTTTAGTCAATTTTTTTTATAAAAAAAGCTGCTATATGATAATAAGGGAATAAAAAATATTAGTAGTTAAATTTGAATTTTAAATTTATTATATATTATATCTTAAAACTGATTATATAAATTAATTAAATTAAATTTTTAATTCGTTTATTTATTTCTTTAAACAAAAGCATCAATGTTGTTTTTTCAAAAAGTTCATAAGCCAATACAATGATCTTTTTTTAATACATTAGGATTGATTTTCTAAGTCAAATTTCATTTTCTTGATAAAAAGGTGACATATTTTAATAATATATTCATATGTATGTCTGGTTAGTCGAAATTATAATGTTTTAATGTGAATTTGCGTATATAATGTCAAAACATATTTAAATATGGCTTACCTTAAGCATCAGAAGTTGATAGCTGACAAAGCATTACCCGACAGGTCTCTTCGATGACTTTGTCAAATTATATTTTCATTTGATTTCTTTCTGTCTTCTGCCAAATCATGATCCCTCAATTTTCGAATTTGCATTTTAAAACATGCCACTAGTTTTAATAATAGCCTTAACTCTTGTTTATAAATATTTCCCTTTGGTGAGGGGACGGATGTTTATTTGAGAAAGCGTTACTTCTTTAAACTAATACCTATGTTTTTTTTTTTTTTTTGGGAGCTGACTTTTTGTATAGGTAGTAGATTGAAAGTTGGATGAAATTTTTTATTAAAAATAATTTAATAAAAACTTTAATTTAAAATTTGAATTATAGATTAATAAAGTTTAATAAAAAAATTAATAATATCCAAAATAAATTATAAAAAATATTTTTATAATTCAAACTCAATCCGTACTTATTTATCTATTAAAATTTTTAATAAAAATATTTATCTAAAAAATATATCAAATTTATTTAAAATTTTAAAATTTATTTATCTATGTAGTAAGATTTTTAATTTTTATTTACTCAATTTTAATAAAAATTTTGACAAATATTATTTAAAAACTTAATTTAAAATTTTCCTTCAAATTGAAACTTGAAAAGCATATCCTTTTGACATTATATTGTTGGATTTATTGATACGTTCGAACATGAAAGTTTGATTTCTAATTTTCTTTCAAAAGTAGTAATTATCAATATCATGACATCAATCTTAATTTCTAGAAAAGTATCTTATAACTGTTATCAACCAAACAAAACCATTTCACAAGATTAAGTAATTAAGTAATGAGATAAAGACTGATAGCATTTCTCCGATAATTTATTTTATTATAATATTATAATAATTTAATCATAATAAAAAAATATATAAATTTATTATTTATAAATATGAATTTTATATAAAATTTTGATAATTTTTATGTAATTTTAAATTATAATTAATTAATTATATCATAATTATTATAAATGAAATGTTTTCGAAATTGATAGGCTGGGCCCATTAAATGTCGAAGATATTTGTACAAACTCAACCGTAAGTATTTTTCATCAAAGAGATGATAGACACTGGAGAAGACACTCGCTGCCAAGAAATTCAATCCATAAAAAAAGTTGACTTGCCCCAATACGCCAAGGCAATGAGCGTCGATGGAGCTAAATTTGATGGTTGACAGGTAAAAACATTTCAATTTTTCACTGCCAAGCTGGTAACAATTCCCGTCCCTCTTAAGAACGCAAGAGCTGGTTGGCTTAACTCCTGCCGGTACGTTGCATCGTCATCCATAGAAAAATTTTATGTAATTTAACCAAAAAGAACAACATACGTGTTGATTTTTTGGGCAGGGAAAGGTTATATTATTTATGTTTTGAAGATGAGAGAAATTCTAGAATCCATGTGAAATTTAATGGTCACAAGATCGTATTGACTCTGGAATTGACTGACTTGTCTACGGCTTTGGACCACATTGAGTACGAGGAAAACTCTGTCAGAGCTGTCTATTTACGTTCCAGCTTTATCTGATGGGAATAATTTTTGTGCGTTAACTTATAGGGACATGAAACGCATCACATAAAGCCAAAAAGGCTTGGACCGACCGGAATCCAAAGAGGAGGAAACAAGGGCTATTACAAGGGAGGAGGCAGGCAGAGTCACGGCCACTCAAAATTTGTTTTACTTCAATTTTTTTTATCAATATTTGAATCTATCAAAATTAATATGCATTCTCTTCTTCCATTCGATTCCTTGATTTCTAAGTCAGATCAAAATTCATTTTTTTGATATTTAAGGCCAAAACCATTGACAACAACATACAAATCAAAGAATATCCCCAAATTTACTACAATTTTCTTCTTCAGGGCTCTGAAACATAGAACCCAACATTGGAGTAATTAAGCTCAAAAACACAAATGGAAATGATAGACTGATAAAAAGCTTGGAGACAAAAAAAAAATCATAAATAGAATACAGATCATCGTCCTCAAATAAACGACCAAAGCAAGAGTTTTGACCCTTTAAAAAAAAGCAAGGCTCAATAACAAGTCCAGAAAACATCGAAGCATTCAATCGAATTGATCCTTCCATTTTTCACAATAGGTCCAATCTACCTACACAGTTCAAACTCAATACCAGGCCCACAGGTCGAATCATTGACAACACTGTACAATTTTTTTTGGGCTAGTAAAAAAGCCACCGGACGTAGAAGAGCAAGAAATGGGAATCGGGCTTTTGCCGACAATGGAGGATGTAAATGCTATGATGTTATAACGTTATACACAGCAAGTAAATCTAGTTTTTTATGAACTATACTAGGCTCATCTTGCCATGTCTAATTGTGGCGTGCATGTGTGTTGCAATTATTGCTGCTTATTCCTGATACTTTCAGTAAATGTTTTGATAATAATGCTATTGCCGAGACTGTAAAGAATTTTGCCATGCAAGGGCTTTGTATTACGAAGTTTATCTGCTAACACACTATCTTGTCTTTGCAGTCAAGTTGCCTGAGTTATTGGTGCAAGCAGACATTGAAGAGGAGGCATTGTTGGAGTTGCAGCAAAACTTCGTTGACTTTCTCAAGTCCGTAAGAAATCTGTTTTTCCAATTTTCAAAGTCAATGATGTCATGTAGATAATTGATTGCATAAGTTGATGTTGGTTGTTGTGTCTAATTTTCTTCAACCATCTATAATTCTTGCTAACTTTCTGTGTAATAATCTCTTATTATTTACATTCTTTGTTATTTTTGAACAACAAAGCCAAATCTAGAATGGAAATTATCATTTTATTTACATTTTTAGGGTTTTTCCCCATAATTACGCCATTCTATTCTTGCATAACCGATTTGATACTTTTATTTCCCTTCTGGGAAGATGGCATCTTGTTATCACCAACTTTGCTAATAGATCAATATGTCTTCTCATTGCATGTTCTTGCAAAAGAATCAGAATGCCATATTTCTATCTACATACCATGTTGCAGAAGATGTTGGAACGAGTGTCAATAAACAAGATAATTAAATCCAGACACGTTTGCGAATCATTTGTACATACACCAAAGAGTGGTTGGTAGGTTCTTCTACCTTTCATCAATTCTTTTCCGTAGGCTAGTAAAAGTTTTGAAACTTAATATGTTTGTATTGCCCTTACGAACAGTTTGTATCTATAAATTTGTACGAGAATCTACAGTTAAAGCTCATGTGCATGTCCCTGTTGGTTACCAACCTTCTGCTTTCGTGTCAAAGTGTATTACTAGAATATATTTTTATTCTTCTAGAATCACAAAGTTTTTTCTTTTTTTTTTTTTATTATTATCATTTGGAGAAAGTGAAACTTGAGTTTCACATGCCTAAAATAACCTATGCACGGTATTCTTCCCTTATTGGCTTTAAGGATGAATGCAATGAATTCATTTCTTCTTAATTTTTTTATTTGATGCTGTGGAGCTTTGAATTTTGGTTACTAAAACTAAGAATTTAACACATGACTTTAGGCAAATGTCTTTTTAAGCTGCTTAAAGATGGATCCTAACCATCCCCTGCTTTAACTTTCACCTTGAAGCTCCGAATGGATTCTTTATATTTTTCACTTATTTTATCTTTGATATTGTTAACTCCATTGTCATCTTCAAAATATCAAAAATTGAGCGAAGGATCATCTCTTTCCGTGGAGAATCCGGGAGATGTTATAATATCACCAACAGGCACTTTCTCAGCTGGCTTTTATCCTGTTTGCGAAAATGCTTATGCTTTTGCTATATGGTTTAGCAAACCAACTTGTCTTGTTCACAATTGCACTATTGTTTGGATGACAAACCGTTATCATCCGGTTAATGGAAGGCGGTCAAAGCTCTCGCTCTTAGGAACCGGCAATCTTGTCCTAACTGATGCTGCTCAGTTCAATGTTTGGGCCACAGCCACTGCTTCTCTACCCTCAGTGCAGTTGCAGCTAAAAGACTACGGTAATCTTGTTCTGAGTAATTCTGAGGGTATTATTTTATGGAAGAGCTTTGATTCTCCTACAGATACCCTTCTTCCTCTATAACCACTCACCAGATACTCAGCACTTGTCTCTAGAAGAAGAAAAGGTAACAATTCCTCTGGCTTCTATAAGATCTTTTTCGATGATGATAATGTTCTTCGTCTCTTTTGTGACGATTCTGAGATTTCAAGTGTTTATTGGCCCGATCCATGGCTTGTAAGCTGGGATCAAGGATGGTCCACATACAACAGTTGGAGAAATGCGACGATCGATTCCTTTGGCAATTTTAGTTCAAGTGATAATTTTACTATTCGGTCCATAGATTATGGTGCAAACTGGATCCAGAGAAGATTGACCATGGATTATGATGGTAACCTT